CCTGGCATGCGACTTTCCTCCCATTGAATTCAATCAAAAAACTCCCATTCTCTTCCATGACAATACCACTGAACATTTTCTTTGCCAACTCTTTTGGGGTGAGTTTTTTTCCACTGTTTTTGCTCTTATAATTGTGCCTCATAACACTGAAATTAGATATTTAAATAAATAATAATTAAAACTGCCTGGCAATGAGTTTTGCTTTTAGGAGCAATTTTCCACCACAAACCCCCTGGTTCAAAATTCCAGTCAGCGTGGGTTGTTTGCCAGTCAGCCACAATTTTGTTTGGCCTCCCCCCCCCCCAAAAAAAATACCAAGCAGAATAAATGGAACTGTTGCACAGCAGTTAACTTGTTCCTTTGATCTTTTTTCTGCCCTAAGCTATGGGATATTGTTTTATATAATCATGCACATAAAAATGTTATACTTCAGATTAATTCCTCAAAAATTAATTGAAATGGCAATGATCAGAACGAGTAATGGCCAAACGCACCCAAAGCAGCAGAATTACATCAATGTAGTTAGATACATATCTGCTTTCTGTGATTCTACAACTTGGCAATTTAAAATTAAAATCTGTGAAAGGAACAGGCATTTGATTTGGTTTTACTCATTTCAAATATTGGCAAAACCATGACTGAGTGAGTCATAATACCTACTGCTACCCATTTTTTTATTTTCGTGTCTCAATATGGAGCATTATTCAGAGGCTGAGAGGCTAGCCATTCCCCATAAGAAACTGATAAAGGACAACAGTTCCATAAACTGTCTTAAGACAGAGTTGCTTAGCTATGATTCGTTGCAGCTTAGTAACTAACCTCTTTAGGGAAATTAAAACCTATTGCTACATCCACAGTTTTGTGTCTTCTACCTGAGATTTTTCATAGCAAAGGAATTAAATCTGGTTTCCTTTTAAAATCTTGCATATGAACCTTGCATATGTACCACAAAGGAAGAGGAGGTTGGGAGCTGATCACTTAAAGCAGGAGGCAACACAGCACAGAAACTGATTATCAATTGTAAGATTATAATTTTATTATTTAAATTATACTGCTGTTAACAGATGAAGAGAGTGCTCTGTGAGACTGAGGCAAAGTCCACTGAGGTCAATTCAATCAGCTTTGGATCAGGCCATAGAAAAAGTGACCCTGTTTCTCATTCTCTCACCAAAAAAGAGAGATGCAAGGGAATAGCAAAATACACACTTCACTGTATAAGAAAAAAGAATTTAAAAAGAATTTAGAAGAACTGAGCAATGTACAGAATGGAGCTGGATGACAGTCATTCCAAAGGCAAAATTATTATAGGTTATCATCTAGTTGCCTGGCGGAGCTGTGGACCAGCTGGCTGTGATGTTCTACTCAAAGTTAAACACAGACAGGAAACCACATGTCTGATGCTGTAAAAACCATTTGTCTTCCTTCCATGGCTAAGCAGGCAAGCAATCAAGTTGGGCTGTTTTCATTTACACAAAACACTGACCCACAAGAATAGAAAAGGAATGACAAAGCCTAATTTTTTCCTCTCCTTATAGTTGTTTATGTTTGTGGAAATGTTACCTACTTAACTGTTGTATTATTATATTTTTCAACTAATCTCCTCACAGAATAAGGGCAATCACTGCATATAGCTTTCACAGCAATATATTTACAATGGGACCCTGCCCACAGGGAAAGTTCTGAATCTACTTTACTTCTAAGAGGGAAAGAAATTAAAGTAATGGGGCCAGATTCTCATTTGCACTAAGACCCTTTTACACCATCTGGCAATTGAAAGGGCTGTAGTGTAGTGAGAATAAGGCATTTAATGTTGGATTTATGGAATGGTTATCATTATAACCATTAACAGAGAAGATATGTTTGATACCCAAATTGCATTCAATTATATAACCCCAGGAGAAATAGTTTTTAAATGTATAACAAGTTAGCCAAAATCCATAGGCGTGTGGTTAGCAGTGTATTGAAACCCTAGACAACTGATAGATGGTAAGACAGTTATTACTTTTTCACCAGGAACACATTCACTTCTAAGCTAAATAAATTCAAGACACCAATTAGTGTTGGGATGTGATTCTGCATTCTCTGTTCAAAGGAGTGGTACCATTTACTTCAGTTATTATATTATGATATTCAGTTACTGTATTACTTCAAAAACAGTTTACAATGAGAAAGTACTGAGCTGGAGTTCACATGCAATTAGACACCATCAGAAGAGGTTTAAATAGAAACATGGAATGGCTCTCACATTACTATAGGTAATTTCCCCCTTCAGGTACTCTCACTTCTCATCACTATTGGAGATGAGTCACAGCCATTCTGATTTAATGAGCACTGATTTCACACTCCCATCTCTGTATCTCTTCCTTTTTTCTCTTTAAGCTTCTGAAGATGTGAGTTGTATCTCACAAAATGTAATGCCCTAATAAATTTGTTAGTCTTTAAGGGTGCGTCTACACTGCACTGTAACTTGAAATAAGATACTCAATTTGAGCTACGCAAATTGCATATCTTATTTTTATGCTGTTTCGAAATAGCTTACTTCATCATTTGGCGCTGTCTACACAGCACCAAATTTAGAAATAAAACACTATTCCAAAACATCCCTTACTCCTCATAAAATGAGGTTTACAGGGACATCAGAATAATGAGCCTGAAATAATGGGCTTGCTGTGAACACACAGGATATCTATTTTGGGATACTTCAGAACAGGCAGTCCCAAGGTTACATGGATCCAACTTACATCAGATCCCTACTTACAAACGGGGTGACACAACCCCGCACTAGCTGCTTCCTCCCAGCAGACCAGGGAGACGCGGAGCAACTTTTCTCAGCAGACACCTCAGCTTGAGAATAAAGGACTGAGGGAAGTGAGGTGTGGGAGAATAAAACTGAGCTCTGGAGAAATGTTTGGCTAGAGTTTCCCCTACAATATGTACCAGTTCCGACTTACATACAAATTCAACTTAAGAACAAACCTACAGTCCCTATCTTGTACGTAACCCGGGGACTGCCTGTATACGTACTTTTTAAATGTATATATTTGAGCAACACATGTACATGTGCAGCATGAAGTATTCCCATGGAAAAATGTATGCCCACAGCAAGCCTCATATGAATCTATAAGACTCCAGATTGTGTATAAAAGGTCAACAGTAAGTGACAAATATGGGGTCTGATCATTTGCTATGGGAGAAATTGAATAGGGCTGTGCATGTATGTTTTTAGGAACTGGTTATAGTATCTGTAGCACCAACTGCTGACATCCATCATAAAGAGTAGGGTCCAATTCTTTGATGCCAGGCAGTATAAGTCCTTGTCTACACTCAATTTTGTACCAATTAAACTGATTTATTTCAATTGGTGGAGAAACTGGAGAAGGTCCAGAGAAGAGCAACAAAAATTATTAAAGGTCTAGAAAACATGAACTATGAGGCAAGGCTGAAGAAATTGGGATTATTTAGTTTGGAAAAAAGACTGAGGTGACATGATACCAGTTTTCAGGCATCTAAAAAAGGGTGTCACACGGAGAAGGGGTGAAAATTATTTTCCGTGGCTTCCGAGGATAGGAAATTTTTCCCTAATGTCCAATCTAAACCTGCCTTGCTGCAGTTTAAAACCATTGCTTCTTGTCCTAACTGTCAGGGTGGCTAAACATTGGAATAAATTGCTGTGGGGGTTGTGGAATCTCCATCATTGGAGATATTTAAGAGCAGGTTAGACAGATACTTGTCAGGGATGATCTAGACCAGGGCTACTCAACACGTAGCCCACATGGATCTGGAATTGATGATCTCTCAAGGTCCCTTCCAATTCTAGTATTCTATGATTCTGTGGTTTGGTTCAACTAGTTCAAAACCCTGTGTGGACATACTTACTTTAGTTTAAAAGTGCTTTGTTTTGTTTCAGTTTAAGTCTTTTCCTACTTGAATTCAGCTAAAGCAAAATATGCATAACCAGGGGAACAATGAGTAGGAGCAGAAAGATGATATTGCATCCATATTTAACTGTGGTACAGCCACTATTAGAATACTATACTCAGTTCAAGTCCACAATTTACAAAAGGTGTTGATATATTGGACAGGGTTCAGCATGAGAAAGGTTTTCCAATTTTGTAATCAATCTTATATCTTTAAGATGGTGGAGCCTGGACCCTGTGGTGTGGCTGATCTGCACTGCATATAGTTTGATGCAACTGAACTTCTTTGCCCTTTGGAAATATTCTCCTTTGGGGGTGGTACGTAGGGATAAACCCCCATTATCTCTGAATGCAAGAACTGTAATTGCTCATACTTCTAGGAGTTGCCCCTCGGGCAAGGCATACATGCACAAGTGATTTCTTGTGAGACCTCCCCTCAAACCTTGCTTAGGAAACAGATGGCATAGAGCCAAATTAACCTGACTCCAACTCTGCCTCCACAACTAAGTAGAGCTCATTCAGACCCAAGGATCTCATTCCAGGTTTCTCACTGTGTGGCATGGCTTACAACTGAAAATTGGGATTTTAAATACTAAGTATAAAAAATTCACACACACATTCCAACTTGGAACAACTTCGGATGGCAAATAAACGAGAGAAAAGTAACAAGTGCTTTGGACATTACACAAATAGAGAAAAAGGTACAACTAGCTGAAAATATTGGTTAGGGATTATTTGATTTTTTTCTATGCATGAAATGGAATTCAGACTTAATGGAGAGTGACTTTTAGTAAAAAAAACCAACCACATAATTAATGAATGACGTTATGGGTATGTCACAATGTAACTTTTCCCATTGGATGCTGTAGGGTGGAAACTGAAAGCATTCTGGTTCAGGCCTTGGCTGCAACCATAGGAGATCCGCCAATTCAGTGTAATGAAACTTATGGAACTGTACTGGTCCTTCTCAGTGTCTGAGGCAAGATCTGCCCTAAGAGGAGGTTCTAGATCACAGGAGAGTCCTAGAAAATAACCCATATTGCCTGGCAGCAGGAGGAATGGGAGATGAGAAATTAAACTGACCTTCTGAAAAAATAATATCATCATTGCATTCGTCCTCTTTGCAGGAGCACATGAACATCAGTCCCCCTGCTGCTTTCTTCTCTTTCATCACACAGGTTTTTGATTCAGAGTCCTCCAATTTGTGTCCAGAGAGTGGCAGAGCAGGATTGTGACATATTGTTTCTAAAGTTGTGTTTGAATCATTCTGTCTCCTAAAAATGAAAAGGAGAACTAAAAAACCAAAGCCAAAATGAGACAATCCTATCAAGAGAACAGTTAGGACTCTTTCTGGATAAAATGCACTCTGTTGTGAAAGCTTAAGTTAGACTTATACAGCGCACATGTCTTACTGTAGTCTCACTGCACAGGGATGAATTTTACTTTGTGTGTGCTTCTCTACATAGAGGATTTGTGCAGTGCAGCAGCTATTGATATATAACCAGTGGATTTAAATGGGAGCACAGTTAGGCCACGGCTCAGTGGTTTTGAAAAATAACACCCCAACAATTCAAATTAAAGTTAAATTGAACGATTTGAAACTCAGAACACACTTGGTTCCAATGAGAGGCAAAGTTAAGTCATCTTTTCATCTGAACTGTTTCAGTGCTGTATCTTGTTTTCGCTTACTTCCTGTTTCTTGAACTTACACAGTCATCAAATAAAATGTGTTAAAGCACTGAATCCTCATTGCAGAGTTTCATGATGAAAATAGATCTTTAAAAAATCCACCTAAACAACATTTGTTCCTGTGGTTATCAGCAAAAATCTGATAGCAAAAAAATCTGTGGAAAATGTTAATTAAAAAAATATTTGAAAAAATCTGTGGAATTTCAAGGTGTTTTCCCCCCTAAGACAGTTTCAACAATGACCAAATACGTGAGTCTGTATTTTAAAAACACAGGGCTGTTACAAGCCAGTATAGCTCCACTAACTTCCAAAGAAGTGACACCAATTTACACTAGCTGAAAATTTAGCCCATACTTTTGATGTGGTTGGTTCACCTCTAACATTTAATGGTACAAGAGATGAGACTAAAAAGACAACCTCAAATATATTATTATTGACTAATTGCCTTTGCTATTTCTAGATACTGTTGCATTAACAATTCAGAGCTCTTTTTTCCTCTACGCAAGCTCATCTGAAGAAGTGGGTTTTGCACAGGAAAGCTCATGATACCACATTTATATATCTATATATAAAAAAGTCTCTAAGATGTCACAGGTCTACTCGTTTTTAATCCAGAGAATTTCAGACTGCATGCACTGCACCCTCTTTATTGCACACAGGACATTTATTGTACTCCTCAGACACACAAAGAAAAAAACGGCATTATTTCTACTTTTGATGTGTCCATGTTCTTTTATGGAGGACATTTTTTTCAAGTGAATGAATGCAACAAACTGTGAGCCCTATTGGATATTTCTGATGATTAATCATGTTTTCAGCTATATGTTCCTAATTAGGCTTCAGCATTACATTGAGTGACAAAGAATAGTTGCAAGTTTCCTGTGCTGCTGTTTGTGCATTAAAAAGACAGGAATATTTTGATTTTCATTGCCAACGCTGGCTTCATGACTAGAAGAGCAAGAAACATTTAATTCTAAACATGAACAAAAAGCTTAGATTCATCAAACACTCTAGGAAAGCATCGTAAGTCATTGCATTTTACATGCCCATGGTTTCTTTTGTTTCAGACATAGTTAAATAATCTCTAAGCCCTGGTCTACACTGGAGAAGTTATTTTGAAATAATTCCCCTTATTTCAAAGTAACAAGCAGAGCATCCACAAAACCAAACCCATTATTTGAAATAAGAGGCTGGTTATTTTGAAATAACTCCTGCTTTGCACAAGAAATAACTCTTATTTCAAAATAGTTATTTCAAAATAGCGCTAGTATGGACACTCCAATGCTGCTATTTCGAAATAACTACTCCGCCCTAGAGTCATTCAAAGTAATTACTCCACATTGCTTTCTGGGGCTCTGTGTCAAGGTAGTGTGTCCACATTAAGGGAGCTTGCCTTGGACTAATTTTGAGGATTACCTGTAGTGTGGACACACTATTTCAAAATAGTTATTTCAGGAGTTATTTCAAAGTAACTTCCTAGTGTAGACATGCCTTAAGAGTCACTATATTTAAACAGGAGATAGGGGGAAAAAAGTATTCCTTTTTCTATACACTATAATAAAGGTAAAGCACTTCTACCCATACATTATACATAAAGCTCCTGTGATAGGCACATAATCTAAACCAGGGGTCTCCAAACTACGGCCCGCGGGCCTGATGCGGCCCGCGAGGCCCTCTCATCCGGCCCGTGGAGACCTTTTTGGCTTGTTGGTGGCCGTTGCGCTTTATTGCTTGTGAACATCCGGGCTCTGCGTGTCCCTCGCAGCGAGAGGGGTTGGAACTTGGCGTGGACAATTGCTCCCTATTGGCCAGTGCGTTCTTATCCTATTGGCTAGCTCTCTCATGAGGTCACTAGTGGGCTGGGCTCTCGATTGGTTGAGCGCACGAGCCTAAATCTGCGTTCGATTGGCTCGTGGCCCAGCTTGACCTTGGATTGGTACAGGGCTATGACGTAGTCTCCTTTATGCCACCCAATCAGCGAAGGGGCTAGTAGCTGGTTTATGGGGCTCTTGGCGCGAGAGGGGGCTGAAGTGGGTACTTCGCGCGCGCGGGGGGGGGATACCTGAGGAGCTGGTGCCCATTGCAGGAGGCGGTCTGGTTGCTGTGGCACAGCCTCTGGGTGACGCTGTGCCGTGCCTAGCGCGCTGCCCTGGTCCCTGCAGTGCGCCCTGAAGAAACATCCCTCTCCCTTCCACGTCTGGTCTCTCTCATCCACAACCCAGAGCAGCACCGCCCTGCCGGGTATCAGTCTGTGGGAGCGTTGGGCACTGCTTTCCAACTTCCTTTACCAAGTGATAACGTGTCTGCTTTCAAACCAGCTTTTCCCATTAAAATGCATGCCCCTTGTTCCATGGGGCTATGTTACAAATTGTCACCTCATTCCCTGCATGATAGGAGAGCGATCACATCTCTTCAAGTGTGAGTGTCTTAGGCTGAACATATTGCCAGGATTATGTTGCTTACAATTTTCATCACATTGCGCAGGTGGAAATGAGTTCTCAGCAGTTTCCCCGTTCTGGAGCCCCTCCTGCAGGACTAGGACAAGCACCACCCCCAATTTCAAACAGTGATTTCTAAAGCCAGAAATGTCTGCTATTTTGGCATCCAGGAAACAATTTCACCATTCACACTAATACAGGTGTTCATGTGTAGTGTATCAATGTGTTATTAAATAATAACTGAATAAAATAATATTAAATAAATAATTAAAAACAACATCCATGTTTTGATTGTTTTTTATTTGGACCTCAAGTGTGTAGTCGGCCCCCGAACTGCTGTTTGATAGTTAATGCGGCCCTCGGGCAGAAAAGTTTGGAGACCCCTGATCTAAACGATAGGGTCAGTTTGCTGTTGAACAGTTTGACTTAAAATGTTGCTTTCCTCCATTCCCATCAGATAATACAATCATGAGCTGTTGCTCTTTAAGAGTCTCTAATCGGTTTCTACTTTCAGTGTGCTGTGAGTGGATGCAGTTTAATGGGCTGAGGAAAAACATGACTCTCAGCAACAGCAGAAGTTGGAACAGAACTGTGGTAAAAAAAAAAAACACACACACACACACCCTCAAGACATTTATTATCAGAATTTTTGTTAACCTCAAGCAACTCTCAATGTGCTGAGCACAGAGTGTCAGAGTCTGTCACCATGGTAGCAGTTAGGGTGAATGTTCCAGAAAAGAACTCTGACTGTCTTGACAGCAAGAGCAAGTTCTAAGTGGCCCGTCTCCTAGCCCATAAAAATTGAACTTACCACACTGCTACACAGATTTCATCATCATTCTCACAGATGGAAGTGATGCTGCAGTTGCTATTGCAGTGACCTTGGTGCGTGCAAGTTGTCTGCTTAACATCACAGAATTTACACAGTAGACGGATTTTGTACTCATTTTTCTGCATTTTTTCCACAGGCAGGAGGCTGTCAGCTGCAGAAGAGAGAAATAAAACATTGTAATGACATCAGCATCTCAGATTACATTACAGTTAATCACAATGGACAATTTTATCATCAGTTGTCTCCTGTAGGTCCGAGGCTGCTCATGTTCTCGTGTCCTGTTGACTTCAGTGGAAGTGTAGATGTTCTGTGCCAAGTAGGACTGAGCCCAGTTTGAGTTGCTTTTACAAAAAAGAAGAAAGTTGCATCTACCCTTATTTCAAAGGCTCCCAAGGCTGAGCCAGTAATCAATGTGTTTCAACTTTGTCCTTGAGCAGGTTGGCAACTGGGGATGGCATAAGCATGGCATACTGGGAAAGAAGTGTAATTGGGAGACACCACTGTATCACCAACACTGGATGGACTTGATTCATCACACTGTTAACTTGAGGTATAATTCGAGTGTTGTCCCTAACCCGATGCTTGTCTACACAAAAATCTCTAGTCTAGATCGAGGGAAGTGGTGCTTTCAACTCAAGTACTGCTGATGCTTGGTATTTTTTCCTGATATATATATATTTTACGTTTTGTTTGCCTGTTTAATTCTTCATATCCTTGTATTCTTAACCAATGCATATGAACAAAAGGTTCCCTGCTAATGTGTATAAACAAAGGACAAAGATGATGTCTGTGTATGTTGCTTCTGCTTAAGCAGATGGGGTTGCTAGTACAGGAAGCCCCCAACTTCTGATGCAATTTTTTCTGGGGGAAGCGTCGCAAATCGGCCGCATCGTAACTCGAACCCGCATTTATGATAGGTGCTGTGTGCCATTGCAAATGTGGGCTGAGGACATAAGCTGGGGGTTTCTGGCCCCTTCCGCACTTACAAAAATTGTTGTAAATGAGGGGGGTCGGAACTCAGGCAGTCGCAAGTCGGTGGCCTCCTGTATAATGGGAACAGATAAGAACAGAGAACGTTACTGGGCATGGTGGGAGTACAACATATGAGTGCACACTTGAAGACTGCCTCAATTCCTACCTTGCAGCAAGGTTAAGCAACCAGTTGGGAAGGGTAAGGGAAGTTTTGTGGTGACACTAAAAGGCCAAAGAAATGCCTGTCCCTGACTGTAGAACAACCTCACTCACTACCCCTTCCCAAGGGATACAAAAGAGGTGGAATGAAGACTCCAGGCTCATAATCCCCCAAAATGGTACACAAGTATAAATTGTAAGGAGTTGGGTTGAAGGCATGCATTTCAGGTACAGTTATGCTTGCCAAATAGTTAGGAGAAAGGGACAATGGGAAACAAGGCTCTGTGGCATTAGAGTTATGGGCATGCTTGCTGGAAATTAACTCCAACAGACATTGTATTGCCTGCACTTCAGACTTGTGGTTGTCTGCCTTCTGCCTGTGTGACAAGAACCAGGGGGAGAAGTGAAGGGAAAACCCTTTAACTAGACTCTTGCTAGTAATACAGGAAGAATCCATCCACTTTGTGCTGCTAATCCAATCACTACTCTGTGCTATTTGAGTGGTTTTACATACAGCTGCTTTTGCTCAAGCAAGGCTTCATTTGAGAGCAATTAACTTGACTGTAGCCAACTTGAGCTAACCCTGCAGTGAAGACACACTCTGTAGAACTCTAAATTCCAACTGATGCATAGGCTGCTTCTTTACACAGTCAATACTGGGATGGGTAGGAGTACAGAAGGATGAAACAATTCAGCCCATTGAGGCCCCAAGTATGACTTTCAGGAAGCTTATTTTTAGTTCAATTACTATTTTGAGATCCTAGCCTGACTACAAGGAATAGAAAATGCCTATGAAAGTAGCATATATTTTAAGTAAATATGCTTATCAGAGAAGACTGACTATAATAGTTTCAATATAATTTACCCACAAAAGAATGCCTGCGTAGGGCCAATTGAAAGAGATAACAGATTTTACTGATTAGAATGTCTTTGTTGTATCCACCTGTAGATTAAAACTATACTCATTTAGTGCTATATGTCCAAAAGGTGTGAGTCAATATACAATATGTGACTGAGATTTGTAAAAATGACCCTCTCTCCAGCATAAGCAATGTAACCAATAGTTTCCCCTAGCATTTGAAAATATTTACCATGTTTAGAAACACTTTTCTATAAGAATTACATATACATGGCTGATTGACAGGAAAAAACCACTGGTGCTAAAATGTTCAGTGAATCTCTGAACCATTATAAGAGGGTCAGAGAGAGTGGTCCCTCACTCTTCCTTCCTTTATCAAGCAATGCTTCCTCCTTCCTACATGTGCTCTGGATTTCACCCTATAGCTCTGATCCTACTGCCATTAAGACCAATGGCAAACCCCACTGATTTCTAATGGTTCAGGAGAAAGCCCTATGTACAGTGGAAGGATAGCTTGAGCTCACTGGGAGTTTTCACGAGGGGAAGCATGCTGGCAATATATTACAAACTGGCTGGAGTTTAGGCCATAGGTAAACATTCATCTTATTAATCGTCATAATTCAGTTGTGTTGCAAAAACTCCTAAAGCCTACAATCACAATCAAAGCCCCATCGAGCTGGGTGCTGTACAAACACAAAGGAACAATTTTCAAAAGCACTTCATCCAATGTAGTATAATACATCAAATCTATTACAAATCAGCCATTACAAAGTTTTCACTCATCTGTATGCCACAGTGCCTCACACTTAAACATGTAGGCTGTGTCTACACTGGCATGAATTTCCGGAAATGCTTAAAATGGAATACTATTCCGTTTTTCCGGAAAAGGAGTATCTACATTGGCAGGCTGCTTTTCCGGAAAAGCCCTTTTTCCGAAAAAGCATCTGTGGCCAATGTAGACGCGCTTTTCCGGAAAAGAGCCCCGATCGCCATATTCGTGATCGGGGCTTTTTTCCGGAAAGACTACTGGGCTGTCTACACTGGCCCTTTTCTGGAACAGTGTTCCAGAATAAGGACTTATGCCCGAGCAGGAGCAGAATAGTTTTTCCGGAATAGCGGCTGATTTTGTACAATAGAGCATCGTTGCTTTTCTGGAAATTCAAGGGCCAGTATAGACAGCTCTCAGCTTATTCCGGAAAAGCGGCTGATTTTCCGGAATAAGTGGCCCAGTGTAGACACAGCCGTAAGGTACTTGATTGCCACTATTTATTAGTTAGATTAGAACAGCTCCTAGAGGCCCAAGCAAGATCAGTGCCCCCTTTTACTGCATATACATATAGCTGTTACTCCAAGATACTATGATTCTAAACACATATCTAAATAGGCAAGACTGAAAGGGTGGGAGAAAGGCGGTATCACTATCTCCATTTTACAGACAGGGAATTGAGGCACAGGGAGCTTAGGCCCAGATTTTTAAAGGCATTGCAATGGGAATTAGTACCTACATTCCTTTAAAAATCTGGCCCTAAGCAGACATGAAGTCTGTGACAGAAACAGTAATCGGATCTCTCTCAAGTCTAAACCTTCATTGCAAGGCCATCCCTTCCACTCAGAGAATGTAAAACTGTTCCAACTACAGACTCACATTCTAGGGCTTGTTTTCCTTGTGCTCTTGGTTTGAGGTATAACTTCAGTGTTAAGTGGTGCATTCAACTTGAGCCAGCTGGCCCACTAGCATGGGTGTCCGGTATCCTAAGCAGGGGAAGGCACAGCCTTTCCAAATCGCCAGTCATGGCCCCACCCACACTCCGCCTTCAGAAAGCCTCTTGTAGGCATACAGAGGTGGAGTGTTGCTGCCCTGGAGTGCCTGCCCTCCCTGTGCTCCAGAGCCAAGGAGGCTCGGGCCGCACACCATCCTCCCTCCCTGGTGCTCCAGGGTTGGGGAGGGTGGGTTGTGTGTGCGCGCTCACCCCCCCCTCCATGGGGGGGGTGTCACAGCAGAAGGGGTGGGGCTGTAGGTGAGTCTGGGGGCCTGCCTCGCCTAGCCCTACCGTCACCGACCACCCATGCGCATTAGAGAGAATAAGTTAAAATTCTGAGTGCTGTCGATGCTGGAGTTAGGAATGCAGTGCTGCCCAGGGCTACTACTCCAGCACTCAGTGTTGTTCTGTAGCGTGACTGCTCGAATGAGACTAAGGCCTGCCTGCACTATCTCAGGCCATCACCTAAGTTATGTTCTTCACATAGCTGAAGTTGTGTAACCAAACTCGATGTCCTTAAGGCTGGTCATCGCGGTATCGTCACAGTGGTAAGTCAACAGCTGATGCTCTCCCGCCAACTCCACTTACACGTCCCATTTAAGTGGAGCACTGAAGTTGATGGAAGAGTGCTCAGCAGTCGATTTATCATATCTGTACTAAACATAATAAATTCACTCTCCCCGCTCACTGGATCAATCCAGCCGGTAGTGAAGACATGCCCTAATTCAAAGTGTAGTTAGAACTCAAGTGAAGACATGCCCATAAATAAGCTGTTTCAAATAAACTGTGTTTGCTGACAAACAAGACCATATTCAGCATTGGCCCTGGGTTTTACCAACTTCTGCCAAGACCCTCCCATTGTAACAAACTGATGACAGTTGTCTCTGAATTCATCCCAAACAGGGAACCTTCATTCCAAGCCACATGATTAAAAAGAAAATTTAGCTTGGGAAGTACACAACACAAGTACACAACATAGAAAGGGCTATAAGTCATAGGTTAGGATTCAATCATTAGTGAGGAGACAAAAGAAAGATTCTGGATGGTTAATGTCAGCTTAATTTTAAACCGGGTTCAATTTAGGAGCAAAAATTAAAGGGTTTTAGGACATTCAGCCTTAATTCATTTAGAATTTTTCTTGAGAAGGCCAGCCACAGAACCTAGGAGACCAGTGTCTTGATCACTATTCCCTATACCATTTCACTCAGAGGGTGTGTCTTGACTACAGGGATTTTTTTTTAAAAGTAGCCTTTTTTCAAAAAATTTTTACCTGCATCCAGACTGCTGCCGCAGTCTTTCAAAAGTAAATTGAAAGAATGTGGCAGTTTTTTCGACCACGGAATACCTCATTTTATGAGGAAGAACGCCTTTTTTCAAAAGTGCTCTTTTGAAAAATGACAC